CCACCCCCCTGATCGGCCTACAGCCCCTCCTCCCAGCCAGCTCTGCCCCCGATTGGTCCCCCCCAACTCTGATCAGGGGAAGGGCCAGCCAGCCTCCCACTGTCTCCTCCTCCCAACAGGCCCGGCCCCGATACACCCTGATTGGGGCCAGGGCCGGCCAGACCCCTCCCATGCACAAATTCATGCACTGGGCCTCTAGTCGATAATAATGAGAATAGAAAATTTTTATTGGAGTGTATAACTTGGTAATAATTGTCTCTTTTTTGTTGTTTTCTCTTTTTAAAATTGATTTTAGAGAGAGGAAGTGTGTGTGTTGTGTGTATGAGAGAGAGAGAGAGAGAGAGAGAGAGAGACTTAGATGTGAGAGAGAAACATTGGTCTGTTGCCTCCCGTTGACGCCCTGACTGGGGGTCAAATTCACAACCTGAGCATGTGCCATGATCGGCAATATAATCCATGACCTTTGGTGTATGGGAGATCACTCCAACCAACTAAGGCACACCAGCTAGGGCAATAGCTATCTCATTTTGAAACATTGAACATTTGCAACTATGGGCTCTTCCTTTTTGGTAGATAAGATAGTGCTTTATTAGCTTACCTATTTTTATTATTATATGTGAAAAAAGAAATATTCCAAGTCATTTTATTTTTAAAAGCCTGGTACTTATATGTATACTATTATCTTATGTTAGGCTCTAATAAAATTCCATTTCCTTAGCTTAAGTGTAGATGCATATTCTCTGGATTTAGAAACTAAACCAAGCTTTGCAAACTTTTTTTAATACTCTGCCTCTGTTTAACTTTTTAAAAGAGTCTCCCTTGAGAACTATTCATAGGTAGTATTGCGTTCTTAATTATACAGTAAACTAGAGGCCAGGTGCACAGATTTGTGCACCAGTGGGGTCTCTCGACCTGGCCTGCGGGGATAGTGGACCTCCATGCTACTACAGCCTGGCCTTACCCACCGGCTTGGCGGGTTCCAGCTTCTGTCCGCATCAATCCCGCACTGCACCAAGTAGTGTGCAAAGTGGCAGGCGGCCGGGGAGGAGCCCGAGCCCCAGCCAGGTGCCGTGCCACTCCTGCTCATCCCAGCCCAACTACGCATGCCGCCGCTGCTCGGTAGGCTCCCTGCCACTCTGCTGCAGTCTCTGCGCGTTTGTCCTAGGGTGATATGAGTGCGGCGCCCATGACCACACAGCCACCGCTTGTCATTGCAGCCTTGCTCCTCACACGGCGCTGGAGAAGGGGCCATGGGCTCGTGCCCAGTCAGTACGGATGCTGGTCCCAGATTCCGGTCCCAGTCCAGATGGGGGAGGGATGCGCAGTGGGAGTGTCCACGGGAGAGGCTCGCGCTGCCGCAGCTGTGCTTGCCAGCCATGAGCCCGTTGGTCAGCTGAGCGATGCTCCCACTGTGGGAGCGCACTGACCACTAGGGGGCAGCTCCTGTGTTAAGCATCTGCCCCCTGGTGGCCAGTGAGCGTCATAGCTACTGGTCGACTGGTTGCTTAGGCTTTTATATATATACTAGGGGCCCAGTGCACAAATTTGTGCACCTTGAAAGGAACGGTGGGCCACGAGGCTGCAGTGGGCACAGGGGTGTGTCTCGGCCCATCCTCCCAGCCCCTCCTGCCGTGACCCCCGGTCTCCTGCCTGCCAGCAGCCCCGCTCCCGCCGCTGCTGCTCCCACGTGCGATGGCACAGAGTGATTGGGGTCAGCACCAGCAGCGGTTACAAGTGGGGCTGGCACCATCAGCAGGTGTGAGCAGTGGCTGCTGGCCATGATCGCCCTTCAGGAGCAGGGGGAGGTGGAGAAGCCCTGAGAGGCCATCAGGGCTGGCAGCCACTGCTCACACCCGCTGACAGCGCTGAGCGATCAGTGCTGGCACCCAGTGCCAGCAGCAGGTGCGAGTGACATGCGGGACCTCAGTGAGCGGGAGCAAAGAATTTTCAGTAACCACTAGAAGCTTGCCCCGATGACAGAGACCAGCGCCTCACCTTGGTCTGGCGCCCCCACTCACCTGCTCCACTATCCCACCGCAGCTGACGCCCACCATGTTCCACGCTCTGCTGCGCATGCTCACTATGTTCTGCGCCTGCCCCCTGGTGGTCACCACACATCATAGTGACCGGTTGTTTGGTTGTTCTGCTGTTTGGTCTATTTGCATATTAGCCTTTTATTATATAGGACTAGAGGCCTAGTGCATGAAAATTCGTGCATTTGGGGGGGGGTCCCTCAGCCTGGCCTGCATCCTCTCACAGTCCGGGTGCCCACGCGGGATGTCCACCTGCTGGCATAGGCCTGCTTCCCCAGGGGATCGGCTCTAAGCTGGCAGTCAGACATCCCTCTGGCAGCCTGGGAGCCCTTGGGGGATGTACGACTAACAGCTTAGGCCTTCTCCCCGCAGGATTGTTCAGTCGCTTAGGCTTTTATATATATATGCACCAATGGAACTTCAGTTCATTGTTTAATTTCCCTCTCTCTGTTAGTCGGACATTCTTAGTGCTGCCGTAGAGGTGGGAGAGGCTCCCACCACTGCTGCTGCACTCGCCAGCCATGAGCCCGGCTTCTGGCTGAGCAGTGCTCCCCCTGTGAAAGTGCACTGACCATCAGGGTGCAGCTCCTATGTTGTGCGTCTGCCCCCTGGTGGTCAGTGCAAGTCATCGCAACTGGTCGTTCCTCTGTTAGGGTCAATTTGCATATTACCCTTTTATTATATAGGATAGATTAGAGGTCTTGTGCATGAATTCGTGCACAGGTGGGGTCCCTCGGCCTGGTGGGTGATCGGTGTCCATTGGTGCCATCTCGCCCAGTCCCAATTGGGGCTGGCTGGCTGGGGGAGGGACCGCAGGAGGTTGGCCAGCTGGGGGAGGTTAGCTGTGGGAGTGCACTGATCACCCAGCTGTCTGACAGGAAGGACCACGGGAGGTTGGCGGTCACGGGAGGTTGGCTGGCCATGGGAGGTTGGCTGTGGGAGTGCACTGACCACCAGGGGGCAGCTCCTGTGTTGAGTGTCTGCCCCCTGGTGGTCAGTGTGCATCATAACAACCTGTTGATGTCTCGTTAGGTCATTCAGTCATTCGGTCACTTAGGCTTTTATATACTGTATATATATATATCCCACGTTCAAAGGCTGTTAAATCGCGTTGTTTACCCATATCTTCAGAAAAAAATCACTTCTACTGTCGTGGTAAATAACCTGCTTCCCTATTTATAATGGTCTGGCCCTCTAGCAACTTCAGCATGAAATTATAGCTAATTTGTCTACAAAAGTCAGGTGGTCATAATAATCTGGCCACTCAGTATATATTGATATGCACCAATGGAGCTTCAGTTGATTGTTTAATTTGCCTCTATTTGTTAACTATTCACTTTCAAAGGCAATGTACGTAAATTTGAAGTTAATGGCATAAGTCTAGAGATGTTCTCTAAGTAAATGATACTTAAGTTCCTCCCTACCTGGAAAACCTTCTTTTACATTCATGTATTGCTAATATTTATGGTACTGAAGCTCCCTCTCCTCCCCCCCCCCCCTGCGCACACACACACACACACACACACACATTATTGCTTGAGTGATTCATCCCCCTGCGCGCGCGCACACACACACACACACATTATTGCTTGAGTGATTCATTGTTTCAGCAACACTAATCTGGGGCTTTGGTCCTTACCGAAAGTGCTCTCTTCCCTTTCCCACCAGTAGTTGATTCTGTCTCACTTTATAAGAATTGGTAGTGAAGTAGAGATTTTTTAGCTTGTTTTTAGCTTTATAAATATACAGAAGTGCTGCTGGGATTTCCTGCTCTGTGGTGCTTTCTTCCCACTCTTTCAACATTGACACACTTGTTGGAATTCCTACAAGTGTTGTTAATTGCAAGATTTGTGATATAATTGTTTAACTTTTGGTAATTTGTTTTGGGTAAATTTCTCTTTGGGGTTCATCAGTGTTTCTTGCATTGTTGCCAACTATATGCCAATTATATTTCAGACCTGATAAAAATGAGTCAATTTTTTAAAAAAAATCTAAACCGTACCAATTGTTTTTGAAATTTCCATACCAGTTGTATTTTAAATTCAAAATTTTTAGTATGATGCTAACTCACAACACTTTGAGTACTGAAAAGAATATTTTGATTACTAAAAAGGACCTTTAGTTTTTACTGTTATTGTTGTGTAATTTCGTCAAATTAATTGGAAAAATCATTCACCTTTAACTCATATCATTTGATACATTTTTTATATCCTCTAAGATAGTTGGCAGCATTGTCCTTGATTCTCAATTGGTTTGGGCTTATATAATGTCTTTTTCTTTTCTCCATTTTTGTTGTTTTTCTTTTGCTTCCTAAGGGCATGATGATACAGCGCCATGTGCAATTTTGAAAAGTATGGATAGTTTTAGCTTTCTCCAACACCCAGTCCACCAGAGGAGCTTAGAGATTCTGCAGAGGTGCAAGGAAGAGAAGTACAGTAAGGCTAAAAATCCTGATAAACTATGTCATCATATATGCATTTGGAAATGGAAACCAGGAGCATTCTACACCAGGGTGGGGCATAAATTATATAGGCAATATGACCTCCAGAATCCTTTGACCAGTTGGTCTCAGGATATTTTTAATGAAACTTTAGTTTTTTCTCTTAAAAAAGTTGATATACCTGTTCTTTTAATTTGAATGTCTGTTTGCCTGTGATCCTTGAGTTTTTAATAATATTTTGTTACAGACTCTGAATTGATTTTTCTTTTTGGCTCTAAAGTAGCTGAGTGGTGGGTAAAAATGAACAGTGATTTTCTTTCCTGCTGATTTTTTTTGAAGCTTTATTGAAATCTAATTGAGGTAAAACAAACTGCATGCAAAAGCATAAAGTTTGGTAAGTTTTTACATATATATGCACCTGTGAAATCATTAACCACAAGATGATTAATATATCCAACACTACTACGAGTTTCCCCTTGCAAATTCCTGCTGATTTTTATGTTTGCTTATAGTTGAATTTTAACATCAGCAGTGTTGCTTTAGTGTATCATTGGTAAATTGCTTAGTTTGATTGCAGTTCTCCTATCAGACTTTCTTATGTCTGGTTTAGAGCAAAGCTACTACATTAATGTTTTGGCTTAAGGAAGAATAACAGAATCATAGTGGATGTTCTTTTTTCTTTTAATAAGTTGGTGTAAAATGATGCTCTTGGTCTCCATTTCCTCCTTTTCTATTTGTTATACTCCTTCTGCATAAAAATGGGTTCTTTTGCCTGTTGTGGGATTACAGTTATTTGGCTAACTGAAATAATGAGAATAAAAAAATACTACAGAGTACTTGATGCTTAACTCAGAAATTTGCATATAATGGATCTAAACTACTTACATTTTCTGTTGTAAGCTTTTTACAGTACACTACAGATACACTTTGCTAATTTCCCAGTTTCGTGATTGAAATTCCATGAAATTTTACTATCCAATTATCAGTGAATGAAATTCCTAAAAGCAAATGTTATGTTTTTTTTCTTTCTTTAAAAAAATATTTTTATTGATTTTAGAGAGGAAAGGAGAGAGAGATAGAAACATCAATGATAAAAGAGAATCATTCGTAGGCTGCCTCCTGCATTCCCCACATGGGGGATTGAGCCCACAACCTGGGCATGTACCCTGACTGGAATCTAACCGTGACCTCCTGGTTCATAGGTTGATGCTCAACCAGTGAGCCATGCCGGCCAGGCTATGAGTTTTTTTCTTTAGTTCTTCTTATTCTGTCTTGGTATAAGAAAACATGTAATGTATTTTGAAAAACATTATTTAAAATGTTTTCTCATTTTAAAAAGAACAGAGGTAAGTATTGCATTAAAAAAAGACATTTTAAATGTTATTGTTAATTATTACTATTATTTCTAAAAGGTATACAAGTCCTTATTCCATTTATCCACCTTTTTTTAAAAAATATTTTAATCTATGGGACATTGTTTAAAACAATCTATAGATCTTTTCTGGGTAGCTTAAATTAATTGTTTTTAACTTGTAAATAGTTGCAAGTGGTTTATTTGTTTTGTTGATGTTCATGTCTCTCAGCCTGACATTCTTAGGCTTAATTGTATTCTAGCTTGGTATATATAGGCCCAGAATAGGAAAGCACAAATTTCAGCACAAGCTGTATAAGGAAATTGTACATTTACCTGTGTTCACATGCAAATTTATTTCTACATTTGTGGAAGTTGCACTTTTTTCATTATTTTAGGTAGTTTATTCCCTTTTCTATTGTAGTACTACCAATAATTAAAATTATGTAATATATAAAATTATAAACTCATGTTTGGGAGATTGTTTTAAAAACAAAAATCGGGACTACTAGCTTTAGGTGATGGTAAATTGGTGAGGTGAATGAACCCTCTCTCAGGTAAAAATGATAAAACCTTGAAAAAAATTCAAAATAACTATTTGAAAGAACTGGAAAAAGATTCCAAAGACTAGAAGACCAAAAAAAGACCAACAAGAAGCAGAAACTTGAGGAGAATCATTCTTTAAGTAGTGGGTAAGAATTGTGAATGTGTGCCTTTTTGCACAAAGTACTTCCCAACTCCCATCTAGTTATCTACACAAATAAAAGACAAAGATGCTAATTGACTGTACCTTCGCTATGTCCTAAGCCACGCCCACCAGCCAATTAGAGCGACTGTATGCAAATTAACCCAACCAAGATGGCGGCTTGCAGCCACGGAGCTGGAGCAAGCAGGAGGCTTGGTTGCCCGGGCAATGGAGGAAGCCAAGCTTCCCGTCCTCCCTGAGCCAGCTGTGGCCTCCGCTCATGGCAACAAAGTTTCAATAATAGAAGACAAATAAATCCCAGATACCTGCTTCCAGCCAGCCTCCACTGGGAGCTTGGATGGCTGGGGGCCGTGGCCAGCCTGCAAACAGCCATCAGCCCCTCACACAGGCTGGCCACACCCTCATGGGATGAGGATCCCTGCTGGGGGGCTTAGCCAGCCTGAAAACAGCCCTCAGGCCCTCTCCCAGGATAGCCAAGCACCCCAGCAGGACCCCCACCCTGAGGGGCTGTGGCCAGCCTGCAAACAACCATCAGCCCCTCACCCAGGCTGGTCAGGCACTCCTATATAATAAAAGAGTAATATGCAAATTGACCCTAACAGCAGAATGACTGGGAATGACTGGTCACTATGACACACACTGACCACCAGGGGGCAGACGCTCAATGCAGGAGCGTCTGGTGGTCAGTATGCTCTCACAGGGGCAGCTCTGCTCAGCCACAAGCCAGGCTGATGGCTGTCAGTACAGCGGTGGTGGTGGAAGCCTCTCCCACCTCCTCAGCAGCGCTAAGGATGTTCGACTGCAGCTTAGGCCTGCTCCCCGGTGGCAAGTGGACATCCCCCAAGGGCTCTGGGCCTGCCACAGGGATGTCTGACTGCCAGCTTAGGCCCAATCCCCCAGGGAGCGGGCCTAAGCCAGCAGGTGGTCATCCCCTGAGGGGTCCCAGACTGCGAGAGGGCACAGGCCGGGCTGAGGGACCCCCCTGAGTGCACAAATTTTTGTGCACCAGGCCTCTAGTCCTATCTAATAATAGAGAAACATGGTAATTAGCCGTACCTCCACTACCCTTCCCATTGGCTAGTCAGGGTGATATGCAAATTAACTGCCAACCAAGATGGCGGCCGGCTGCCAGGCAGCTTGAAGCGAACAGGAGGCTTGCTTGCTTCAGTGACGGAGGAAGCCAACGTTCCCCGCCTGCCTTGCCGGCCTGTGAGCTTGCAGTTTAAGAAACATTGTTACAAATATAGAAGCTAAACAAAACCCCAGAAACCTGCTTTCAGCCAGCCGGGCTTCAGCCAGCAGGACCGCAACATTGTTTCAATTATAGAACAAACGCAGATCCCTGCTTTCAGCCAGCTGAGATCTCAGAGCTGGAGTGAGCAGGACCACAACAGTGTTACAATTATAGAATCCAAACAAACCAGATACCTGCTTTCAGCAGCCAAGGCCTCAGAGCTGGAGCCAAGCCTCAGAGCTAAAGCTAGCCCAGATTTAAAAAAAAAAAGAATAAAAGGACAGGTTGGGAGCTTCAGTCACCTGCCAGCCTGAAAACGGCCCTCAGCCCCTCACCCAGACTGGCCAGGCACCCCAGTGGGGACCCCCACCCTGAAGGGGCTGTGACCAGCCTACAAACAGCCATCAGCCCCTCACCCAGACTGACCAGGCACCCCAGTGGGACCCCGCCTCCCTGAAGGGGGTATGGCCAGCCTGAAAATGGCCCTCAGCCCCGCACCCAGACTGGCCAGGCACTCCAGCGGGGACCCCCACCCTGAAGCGGTGTGGCCAGTCTGAAAATGCCCCTCAGCCCCTCACCCAGGCTGGCCAGGCACCTCAGCGGTACCCCCACCCTGATCCGGGACACCCTTCAGGGCAAACCAGC